GAAGTTGTGAATATAGCTCTGGTGGAAGTTGTGAATATAGCTCTGGTGGAAGTTGTGAATATAGCTCTGGTGGAAGTTGTGAATATAGCTCTGGTGGAAGTTGTGAATATAGCTCTGGTGGAAGTTGTGAATATAGCTCTGGTGGAAGTTGTGAATATAGCTCTGGTGGAAGTTGTGAATATAGCTCTGGTGGAAGTTGTGAATATAGCTCTGGTGGAAGTTGTGAATATAGCTCTGGTGGAAGTTGTGAATATAGCTCTGGTGGAAGTTGTGAATATAGCTCTGGTGGAAGTTGTGAATATAGCTCTGGTGGAAGTTGTGAATATAGCTCTGGTGGAAGTTGTGAATATAGCTCTGGTGGAAGTTGTGAATATAGCTCTGGTGGAAGTTGTGAATATAGCTCTGGTGGAAGTTGTGAATATAGCTCTGGTGGAAGTTGTGAATATAGCTCTGGTGGAAGTTGTGAATATAGCTCTGGTGGAAGTTGTGAATATAGCTCTGGTGGAAGTTGTGAATATAGCTCTGGTGGAAGTTGTGAATATAGCTCTGGTGGAAGTTGTGAATATAGCTCTGGTGGAAGTTGTGAATATAGCTCTGGTGGAAGTTGTGAATATAGCTCTGGTGGAAGTTGTGAATATAGCTCTGGTGGAAGTTGTGAATATAGCTCTGGTGGAAGTTGTGAATATAGCTCTGGTGGAAGTTGTGAATATAGCTCTGGTGGAAGTTGTGAATATAGCTCTGGTGGAAGTTGTGAATATAGCTCTGGTGGAAGTTGTGAATATAGCTCTGGTGGAAGTTGTGAATATAGCTCTGGTGGAAGTTGTGAATATAGCTCTGGTGGAAGTTGTGAATATAGCTCTGGTGGAAGTTGTGAATATAGCTCTGGTGGAAGTTGTGAATATAGCTCTGGTGGAAGTTGTGAATATAGCTCTGGTGGAAGTTGTGAATATAGCTCTGGTGGAAGTTGTGAATATAGCTCTGGTGGAAGTTGTGAATATAGCTCTGGTGGAAGTTGTGAATATAGCTCTGGTGGAAGTTGTGAATATAGCTCTGGTGGAAGTTGTGAATATAGCTCTGGTGGAAGTTGTGAATATAGCTCTGGTGGAAGTTGTGAATATAGCTCTGGTGGAAGTTGTGAATATAGCTCTGGTGGAAGTTGTGAATATAGCTCTGGTGGAAGTTGTGAATATAGCTCTGGTGGAAGTTGTGAATATAGCTCTGGTGGAAGTTGTGAATATAGCTCTGGTGGAAGTTGTGAATATAGCTCTGGTGGAAGTTGTGAATATAGCTCTGGTGGAAGTTGTGAATATAGCTCTGGTGGAAGTTGTGAATATAGCTCTGGTGGAAGTTGTGAATATAGCTCTGGTGGAAGTTGTGAATATAGCTCTGGTGGAAGTTGTGAATATAGCTCTGGTGGAAGTTGTGAATATAGCTCTGGTGGAAGTTGTGAATATAGCTCTGGTGGAAGTTGTGAATATAGCTCTGGTGGAAGTTGTGAATATAGCTCTGGTGGAAGTTGTGAATATAGCTCTGGTGGAAGTTGTGAATATAGCTCTGGTGGAAGTTGTGAATATAGCTCTGGTGGAAGTTGTGAATATAGCTCTGGTGGAAGTTGTGAATATAGCTCTGGTGGAAGTTGTGAATATAGCTCTGGTGGAAGTTGTGAATATAGCTCTGGTGGAAGTTGTGAATATAGCTCTGGTGGAAGTTGTGAATATAGCTCTGGTGGAAGTTGTGAATATAGCTCTGGTGGAAGTTGTGAATATAGCTCTGGTGGAAGTTGTGAATATAGCTCTGGTGGAAGTTGTGAATATAGCTCTGGTGGAAGTTGTGAATATAGCTCTGGTGGAAGTTGTGAATATAGCTCTGGTGGAAGTTGTGAATATAGCTCTGGTGGAAGTTGTGAATATAGCTCTGGTGGAAGTTGTGAATATAGCTCTGGTGGAAGTTGTGAATATAGCTCTGGTGGAAGTTGTGAATATAGCTCTGGTGGAAGTTGTGAATATAGCTCTGGTGGAAGTTGTGAATATAGCTCTGGTGGAAGTTGTGAATATAGCTCTGGTGGAAGTTGTGAATATAGCTCTGGTGGAAGTTGTGAATATAGCTCTGGTGGAAGTTGTGAATATAGCTCTGGTGGAAGTTGTGAATATAGCTCTGGTGGAAGTTGTGAATATAGCTCTGGTGGAAGTTGTGAATATAGCTCTGGTGGAAGTTGTGAATATAGCTCTGGTGGAAGTTGTGAATATAGCTCTGGTGGAAGTTGTGAATATAGCTCTGGTGGAAGTTGTGAATATAGCTCTGGTGGAAGTTGTGAATATAGCTCTGGTGGAAGTTGTGAATATAGCTCTGGTGGAAGTTGTGAATATAGCTCTGGTGGAAGTTGTGAATATAGCTCTGGTGGAAGTTGTGAATATAGCTCTGGTGGAAGTTGTGAATATAGCTCTGGTGGAAGTTGTGAATATAGCTCTGGTGGAAGTTGTGAATATAGCTCTGGTGGAAGTTGTGAATATAGCTCTGGTGGAAGTTGTGAATATAGCTCTGGTGGAAGTTGTGAATATAGCTCTGGTGGAAGTTGTGAATATAGCTCTGGTGGAAGTTGTGAATATAGCTCTGGTGGAAGTTGTGAATATAGCTCTGGTGGAAGTTGTGAATATAGCTCTGGTGGAAGTTGTGAATATAGCTCTGGTGGAAGTTGTGAATATAGCTCTGGTGGAAGTTGTGAATATAGCTCTGGTGGAAGTTGTGAATATAGCTCTGGTGGAAGTTGTGAATATAGCTCTGGTGGAAGTTGTGAATATAGCTCTGGTGGAAGTTGTGAATATAGCTCTGGTGGAAGTTGTGAATATAGCTCTGGTGGAAGTTGTGAATATAGCTCTGGTGGAAGTTGTGAATATAGCTCTGGTGGAAGTTGTGAATATAGCTCTGGTGGAAGTTGTGAATATAGCTCTGGTGGAAGTTGTGAATATAGCTCTGGTGGAAGTTGTGAATATAGCTCTGGTGGAAGTTGTGAATATAGCTCTGGTGGAAGTTGTGAATATAGCTCTGGTGGAAGTTGTGAATATAGCTCTGGTGGAAGTTGTGAATATAGCTCTGGTGGAAGTTGTGAATATAGCTCTGGTGGAAGTTGTGAATATAGCTCTGGTGGAAGTTGTGAATATAGCTCTGGTGGAAGTTGTGAATATAGCTCTGGTGGAAGTTGTGAATATAGCTCTGGTGGAAGTTGTGAATATAGCTCTGGTGGAAGTTGTGAATATAGCTCTGGTGGAAGTTGTGAATATAGCTCTGGTGGAAGTTGTGAATATAGCTCTGGTGGAAGTTGTGAATATAGCTCTGGTGGAAGTTGTGAATATAGCTCTGGTGGAAGTTGTGAATATAGCTCTGGTGGAAGTTGTGAATATAGCTCTGGTGGAAGTTGTGAATATAGCTCTGGTGGAAGTTGTGAATATAGCTCTGGTGGAAGTTGTGAATATAGCTCTGGTGGAAGTTGTGAATATAGCTCTGGTGGAAGTTGTGAATATAGCTCTGGTGGAAGTTGTGAATATAGCTCTGGTGGAAGTTGTGAATATAGCTCTGGTGGAAGTTGTGAATATAGCTCTGGTGGAAGTTGTGAATATAGCTCTGGTGGAAGTTGTGAATATAGCTCTGGTGGAAGTTGTGAATATAGCTCTGGTGGAAGTTGTGAATATAGCTCTGGTGGAAGTTGTGAATATAGCTCTGGTGGAAGTTGTGAATATAGCTCTGGTGGAAGTTGTGAATATAGCTCTGGTGGAAGTTGTGAATATAGCTCTGGTGGAAGTTGTGAATATAGCTCTGGTGGAAGTTGTGAATATAGCTCTGGTGGAAGTTGTGAATATAGCTCTGGTGGAAGTTGTGAATATAGCTCTGGTGGAAGTTGTGAATATAGCTCTGGTGGAAGTTGTGAATATAGCTCTGGTGGAAGTTGTGAATATAGCTCTGGTGGAAGTTGTGAATATAGCTCTGGTGGAAGTTGTGAATATAGCTCTGGTGGAAGTTGTGAATATAGCTCTGGTGGAAGTTGTGAATATAGCTCTGGTGGAAGTTGTGAATATAGCTCTGGTGGAAGTTGTGAATATAGCTCTGGTGGAAGTTGTGAATATAGCTCTGGTGGAAGTTGTGAATATAGCTCTGGTGGAAGTTGTGAATATAGCTCTGGTGGAAGTTGTGAATATAGCTCTGGTGGAAGTTGTGAATATAGCTCTGGTGGAAGTTGTGAATATAGCTCTGGTGGAAGTTGTGAATATAGCTCTGGTGGAAGTTGTGAATATAGCTCTGGTGGAAGTTGTGAATATAGCTCTGGTGGAAGTTGTGAATATAGCTCTGGTGGAAGTTGTATAACGCTCTGGTGGAAGTTGTGAATATAGCTCTGGTGGAAGTTGTGAATATAGCTCTGGTGGAAGTTGTGAATAACGCTCTGGTGGAAGTTGTGAATATAGCTCTGGTGGAAGTTGTGAATATAGCTCTGGTGGAAGTTGTGAATATAGCTCTGGTGGAAGTTGTGAATATAGCTCTGGTGGAAGTTGTGAATAACGCTCTGGTGGAAGTTGTGAATAACGCTCTGGTGGAAGTTGTGAATATAGCTCTGGTGGAAGTTGTGAATATAGCTCTGGTGGAAGTTGTGAATATAGCTCTGGTGGAAGTTGTGAATATAGCTCTGGTGGAAGTTGTGAATATAGCTCTGGTGGAAGTTGTGAATATAGCTCTGGTGGAAGTTGTCGGTATTTGAAGACTACCACAGTGGCATGGTCGGCTGGGAGTTCACATTTCCCTAAATCAGTCACTGTAGTACTGTATGTACGGTACCATGGTTACCATGGTTACCATGATTATGTGCACTGCCACGTGTAGGTCCATGTGCGACTCGAGCCCGTGACAAGGTGCAGTTTTGTTGTATGGGCTGATTTCGAATTTTTAATTATAATGTGTAACAGGCATTCATAATCAGTGTTGATAAAACATGTTGTGTTGTTTTCTGAATCCAGGTTCCTCCTTGTGTTCACCATGATATTCTGCTGGCAATACGCTCCAAGGCGCCAACACTTCTTGATGCTCTTCTGCAGCGACGTCTGGGAAAGTCACCACAGCCCAGGTACGGAATGGTTTAGAATTCACAAACCATGGCATGATGATTGCTGGCTTTTGTTGCTTGTTGGTTTCTTCGTTTAATTTTGGAGAAAGCACTCGTGACTATCTTCTTGAGTGCACCGGAATCTCTCTTGCAGTTTGATTTGCATTGTGTGTTCATCTTTCTGCTGAGCCGCACTGCAATGAAAGTGTCACAACTTGCAACACTCCATTACTTGTAACATGCACTGTGCTCAGTCTGCACTACACTTGCTCAGTCCAGTGAAATGCAACCACTCGCTCAATAACTGCATCACTGCTCCCAGTAGCATCATGAATGTGTGAACTAAGCTGGACTGTGAAGTGAAGAGTTGCTTGACCCGGGGTGTGGAAAATGCACGGCTGGCCGGGGTTGCTTGACCCGGGGTACGGAAAGTGTACGGCTGGTCGCCGGTTTTACCTTCCCAGCACTCTCGAGTAGTACTAGGGGTGTGAATCTACTGTGCAGTCATTCTATTTCAGTATAATTATCTCTATGTTGCGTGCATGTGTGTGTGTGTGTGTGTGTGTGTGTGTGTTTCTGTGTGTGTGTGTGTGTGTGTTTCTGTGTGTGTGTGTGTGTGTGTATGTGTGTGTGGGTGTGTGTGTGTGCATGTGTGTGTGTGTGTGTGTGTGCATGTGTGTGCATGTATGTGTGTATGTCTGTCGGACACCCAGTGTACAGCGGACTGCCAAGACATCGACCTCGTCATCATCCGACCTGCCGGGATCACCTGTTACGTACGGTGGTAGTAGTGGCGCTGGCACTACTGCTCCTGGTGCGGGTGCTGCCAGTCCTGCCAACGGCATTGGTGTCTCTTCCCAACACAGCAGGTCCTCGTTGCAATCAGAAGCCCGCACGGTGGACACTAGCAATTTTATACCCCACCCTCTAGTCACCCCTACTCGGTCGGTTGAGTCGACGGCAAGCGAGCGGCGTCAATCACAGCGTGCACCAATAAAGATGGTGAGCGGAGATGACTTTGCAGAACTGAACCCGGAGAATGGTGAGCTTGTCCCTAGTTTTGCATTGCCCGGTTCACCGTTGTCTTCCAGTGTACTGTCAGCCACCAGTCCTCTGGAGATACTCACCATTACCGTGCACGATATCGCCGATCGAACACCGCCGGAGTTCAAGCGACGCTTGCCTGGGGCAGATGGACGCTCCAAGAGTGTGGACTATTGGTCAAGCTCACTGATGGCTCCTCCGGATGATGCCGTGTTCGGTAATTGGCAGAATCGCTGGCCATCGGGCGAGGATGTGCGCTCCCTCAGGTCTCAAACCAGTGGCACTGACAAAAAGTCTGACACCGCCAAGCCCGACAAGAACAATCGTTCCAAGTCGACACTGCGAGACGAGGCCATATCCCGCGATGATCTGAGTCCCATGTCTGGTGAGCTAACGCCGTTAGCGGGCACATCTCAATCATCCTTTGCTTGTCATGCAGTTGTTAGCACACCGCTGGCCAACGACCAGCACTTGCCAAGCTTTGACCCTAGCAAAGCCAACCCAGCCCCCACCAGTCCACCACCACCGTCAAGTCGTACAAAGGAGCTCTACGCAGCACCTGGCCTTGCAGCGAATGGTAACGGCGGTGACATCACACCCGTCAACGCATTGGGACCGCCTCAACATCGGCGATTTTCTCTGAAAAACCGACACAAGCCGCTGGACCGGCGTTACACAGAGCCACCGTCCTCCTTCCAGCGACAGCTCAGTAGCGACGATGCACCTTCATCGGGTCGCAAGGGACGTCGCTTTCAGCAGCTGCGCCACTACTTTGAGAACTTTACTCTGGGCTCTGGTACGCAGCCCGTTGATGATTTCTCGCCGGGCGATATGCCTGCATCTCCTGGAGACACTGCTCCGCCGCCTCGGCAGAATGGATTTGATGAGGATGCCACTGAAACTGAGCAGCAGCAGCAGCAACAGCACCAAGACAGTAACAGTGGTGTGCATGTTAGTGATGGTGTTACGAATGGCAATTCCCACCGGCCCTCCACCACAACAGGACAATTCTGGGAAAGGTTCAAGTCTGAGAATCCGGAAACACTAGTTTGAGAAAGCTCGAGTATATTTATATCTGGGTGAGGCCTTTACACTCTGTTGGACTTGCTACCTTCTCTATTTCTGTTTCAGCCTTATTGGATTGGATTGGTTGGTTTTATCCTCTCACAACTCTCTCCAAGGCCGCCATATTTTTCACCCATGTCATTTATTTCGCTGATGTCATCATTGACCGAGAGCTACTGCCGGCATACCCATTTCTTTATTCAGATATCTCTCCAGCCCATTTTCAATGTGAGCTTTCTATGTTGTCTCCTATGTTGTCTCCTAGCACTCTATGTGTACACATGTTCACACGTCAAGTTTTGATGCAACAAGAGGAGGGAGACGGTGAACAAGCGAACTACTGATTTTATTACTATCATTATCTGAATAAGAGATTAACCGTCGGTAGTGATGCTATATCAACAGGGAACTAAAAAAGTAGCAAACAATCAAGGCTCCCCCACTGGACCAAGAAGGCTGGGTAATTTGGGAGGTAACACTGGTGACAATACGATAATGCTATTTTAGAGCGCGGTGGAGATGGTATTATATATTTCTTGACAAGACAAAAATCATTCCGTTTTTACTTAGTTTGAACTCTGTCGTTACACTTGGCGTTTTGCGAAGTAACTTATAAAATACATTGATGGAAGCAGCAGTAGCAACAAAGCAGCATTTCAAGGCTTCATAATGGCTGCAGGTTGGTTTGGAATAGTGTTGAAGTGACACGTCGCAGACCCTCAAGTGACGCTGTCCAGTAAGTGTTCCACTTCTCCAGGTTGACTACTGCTGTATGAGACTCTGCTTCCGCACTTGACAATAACGAGATGGCTAGAGCCACCATCCTCTATTGGACAGATAGGCACAAGACAATGCGATTTTCAGTTTCACTCACAGAGCAACTATTCAGTTTCACGGGGCAGAGGAAAACACAGGAAATACACATTGACAATGCACCTCCCATACATCAAATCAAGATATTCCTTATCCATTTCACAATGTAACTGAGAGCGGACAGTTTGGCAATGTTAGATCACTGCCTCAAGCTAATGAACGTTAGCAGTGATAAACCTTCAATTTGCCTGCATCAGTATGTTCCACCTGCATTGATGTGCCTTTGCTACATAACAAGTATACAGTCAACTTTGCGTATAACGACACTCGGCGGGGCATCAGAAAAGTGTCCTTATACCTGAAGTCTCATTGTATGTATTACAGTTAGATGGGACTTTGCTCTGGGCATTGATATTCTGTCGTTATTCGCGAATTTTTGTTGTTGCTATATTCGCAGTCGTTATTAGCGAAGTTGACTAATTAATTATGATGGTCTGCCTACCTTGCCCAGCCAATCTCGCATTATGGTTGTCATCTTCTGCACGTCGTTGTAGTGCTTGGGTAGCGTAGGGCGCTGCCTCTGCTGCTGAGATGGCCGGCGACGAACGTCTGCACGTGTGTTGCTGCGTGTTGTAGAGCGGCTGGGTCCAGTAGCGGCGGATTGAGTAGCTAGTACCGGTGTTATGTTGTCAAGGATGAGAACAAGACGCGGCGGGAATCCAATCCATGCACAGAAAGAAATATCTCAAGAATCATTTCTTTTCTATCCCGGATCTACCTTCCTACATTCTCAACCCGTCGCCACCATGCGCTCTTATATAGCCGAACCAATGCACGAAGCGTAAACACACCAGCACAGCAAGGACACTTTCCTTGACAGATTATTGTTACGCCTCTAGACAGCTGTTTCGCTCCTTCGAGCTCATCAGTAGAGGATGATAATGATGATAACGGAGTGAAAGGAATCTACCCGTAAACCCAATACCGAGTGCCCATCCCAGTGCCTATCCGGCAAGGAAAACATCAATAATTATTATTATTGGTTTAGCAAGCTATGTTTACAAGCAATTCTGAAACACAAGTTCAAGGATACAGGCAGTAGTTGCTTGCTCGTCAAACAGGGCTGGGAATAGTGATTTGAACAGGTCGTCGGCAACGCAGTGCGGCCATTGTCCAGGCTCAAAGTACTCTTCTTGATCAGCACTTCCATTAGCATCGGCCGCTGAGAGGAAGTGAGGGCAGCAGAATAGGGCACACCGTTCTGAATTCGTGCACTTGCAGTAAAGCATTCACTGATCAATTCTGATAGTCAGAACAGCAGGTATTACCAAGTATTTCGATCACCATAAACTATAATAGGTAGCGCGGAACTTACTTGAAATAGCACATGGGAAATTAGGGGAGGGAGGGGATGAATGGGAGCCTTCTTCACTTTGTTTGTAACGCTACTTCTTTTGCCCATAAAAGAGCTCTCCACTGATGTGTCTCATCCAGAATCAGTGCCAGATGGGGACAGACAGACATGATCAGACCAACGCCATACCTGTTTTCTTCAGCCACGGTTTCTCGGAGTGCAGAAGAACTTCACCAAGATCCAGGGCTTGTTCCTGAGGCTCTGGAGCAAAACGAAATTATCGTCAACAGAAATCAGTGCCGACAGGATTGAACTGCAGATAGAATCCCCAGATCTGAGCATGTGTGGGCGCACATGGGTACTTTCGGGAACTCGTCGCCAGGCGGGAAGGGATCATTATTGGCATGAAAGGATTTTGAAACAAGTGAGGCTGAAGCCTGGGAACTCTAATTGCCATTTTATGTCGACCACTGGCCCAAACCCCTTCCCATCCTCTCCAGAAATGGGAAATTGGTGGTATGAAGCAGTAGTAGGCAGCAGCACACCGCGTCAGCATACATACTTTCCACGCTGAAGTGGCTCTCATCCATCTTGACGATGAGATCTGGCAGATCAGATAGCAGGATCACATCTTCATAACGCGCCATGATCCTCTCAAACAAGTCCTTCATTGATGAGAAGTATGCCATACACATTGTGCAGAGCTGAGCCTGGCCAATTGCAAGGGTGACAGAAATGTAGATAACATTGTGCTAGTCATATAAGACACACACACACACACACACACACACACACACACACACACACACACACACACACATATACAGACGCGTGTAGGTATGCACACACTTGCCTAGATACACATGTCATGCATGGCGCATGGACTGAGTGCAGAACACACACAGCATAGGTCACAGCCGTGCACCCATCACATGACTGCCACACATGTACATAAAGTACATACAGTATCAACTAACATCCCTGCTCGTCGAATACTAGTCCTGTAGTTTGAACACATTTGAGCCGTCAGATGCGAAAACCGACCTTATGGAAAAACAGCTGAGCTGAGTAAAACGCACTCAAAGTCAGCTGACTGTGCACGTGGCGTGCGCACTGACATTCTGAGAATCTGATGATGGTGACGGAGCTGAGAGTTCCGATGAAGACATTTCTGCTGACGTCGTCATGGAGGAAAGTGACAAGGAGATGGACGAAAACCCTCACTATCTCGACATCGAGGTCGACATCGACGGGTTAGTTGATGGGGCAGCGATTCACCAAACGGATGAACCAGCAGCTGCACCCATAGCAGCAGTGGCAGCAGCGCCAGCAACAGTGGCTGTTGCGCTGCCTGCACCAGTTGCGCAGTGTGGATGCATTAAAAATTGCCTCCTCAAATTCGAACTCGGGGATATTGATGCTCATCGGCTCAACACACAAGAGCTACTTCCTCCGCGTCATCGAAATTGTCGCAGTTTGACTATTGATATAAAACGGGGAATATACTCACCAGCACTCGTACCAGAGGCAAGGAATCGGACCTAGGCAATAGTCATCAGTATAGGGTGACGGCAAAGTTCTATTTTCTGTTATTGGAAGCTGGAATTTTTGAACTAGACGCAATTTCTTCGCTGATGTCGCTTCGATGGTAATTTCGACTCGCTGAGATCAGTCAGGCGTTGCAGCCTGCACATTTCTCGTGCTTATGGCCATTTACTCAAGCCTCATCACTGTTTTACCTTAGCTGGGGTGAGAATGACTTCGTGGAACAAGTGGCAGCGCTTGGAGAAACATCGAGGGGTCAGCAAACTAAATGCCTGCAACAGCGATAAAATTTGTCGCTCTGACTGAGACACTCAGTACATGATTGTACCTACAAGAGCCGTGTAGACTCTACACGTAGTGCTAGTGATGCAAGCGCAGGTGTCGTACCAGGGTATACCAGTGAGATGCTGAAAAAGAGGGCGCGCTGGACGTGATCTGGTGATAGTACACTTACCTGCATGAGCTGTGACCACACAGCTAAAATAAATAGGCATGCCACGGCTAAAAAAAAGTTCATTTCAAGATCGAGGTGATTCCGCCGACGGTAATCAACCGACCTCGCAACGATCGTGTAATCTTATTAGGCTTCGTTGGTGGTGAAGTAGAAATCACCAAGAGCTAGCAGACGACAAGCATAGCAGCTCTTGTCCTGTGGAGAAAGTCAAAGCGTTCGAGATGAGGCGCGACCAACTTTCAACCTTCCTTGAAATATTTCGGAACGATATTTTTGCGTCCATTGACATCAGCGACGACGAGGACTTCATCTCTGCATGAAAACTCTCAGTCCAACTGTCCTGGAACGTTACTCTAGTCTTCAGACTATCACACTGTGTAATATGTTTTGAATGGCTTAGCTTACGGAGCTGTCAGTAACAAGTGACAAGTCACTAGTCAAACTGCGACAATTTCGATGACGCGGAGGAAGTAGAAAATTCAGTACGAGAACCAATGACAGGGCCGGAGGAAGGAGTTGGGGAGTGGTCCGGCCAACCTTTGAGGCGGGTCCGGGGGAAGCCTCCCCCGGGAGAAATATGTGAGCGGTCACGTGCTCATGCGTACACCAGTCGCCTGGTCACCGTGCCTGCAAAGTACAATTTTCACATCAAGATTCAACTCAAAGGTTCAAAGCAGGGCGTCGTAAGAGGCTTTACGACTCCCTGGTTCAAAGGTTCAGCTCGAGTGACATAAACGGCCTCAAACAGGCTGCAAATGAGCACGTGACCGCTTATTCAACCGTGTTCGATTGGGTATAAGGGCCGAATGCTGCATTGCAGCCTTTTCGGACCAAAACCAGTCGACTCAACGGTCAAAAGACTACAACATATGGGCCAATCGCGGTCATCCGCGCTTTTATAAGAACGAAACGGCGTTTTTAGTGACTTTTTCCATACAAATCCCTATCTAGTAGGGCGCAGTCACCCAGTTTCAGTGGAAGTGCGCGAGTTCGATTGGGAATAAAGGAGGAAGGGAGCGTCTCAGCTTCCTCGGACCAAGACCATTCGACTCAGCACCCCGAAGACTACAACTGGTGAAAATTTGACTTTAGGGTATACTTCCCCTTTAAGCAAGGCCTTTGATTGAGTTGTGCACCAGGAACTTATCTTTACTTTGCACAGCTTAGGCATTCATAGTTCTGCCCTGAAATGGTTCGCTTCCTACCTGAACGGCCGGTACCAGCGTGTATGTATAGCCTCTGGAACATCATCTCTTCTCCCTGTAACCCGAGGGGTTCCGCAGGGAACAATCTTGGGTCCCACTCTTTTTAACCTATATGTGCGACTCTTACCTGACCTGGCTGCAGGGAGCGGTGCAAAGCTCCTCATGTTTGCCGATGACAAGACTTCGTACGTTTCCTCACGAGATCCAATAGTATGCGCCGATGTTGTGTCCTCGGCTCTCGCTAAGCTACACAATGAACTAAGATCACTGGGCATGAGCGTAAATGTTGACAAAACCGTGGTCATGAGGATCTTGCCGAAGAATGCTCCTGACGTCCAAAGACCCGTTCTTGTTAAGCTGGGCGGCACTACCTGTTACAGACCCTTGCACATGAATTCACAATTATTGTATTTGCTCGTTCGAATCTATTTGTATTTTGTCTCTCTCACCTTTCACTATTCCTGAGTTGATCACGTACCTGCGTGCTCCACTCTGCTGCAGTTAGAGGCAGCTACTCTACATGCAGTCGAGTCGATTCTATTGTGTATCTGCATGTCTCCTTGACGATATCTGTCCAGCTCTAAATAATTAGAATTAAATTCCTTCACTCTTCTCTCTCTCGCTTCTTCTCTTCAATTTATTTATTTTCGCTTCTCTCAGTTATTTTTGTTTTGTTTGTACTTTGTACGCTATCGCTCTATCTGCATGACGCGATGCAGTTTATGTATGTCGTCACACCTTGGGGCGCCGTGCCTGCACCTTTGGGGCGCAGTGCACCGGATGTGCAGTGACCTCTACGATGTACGCCAGAGCTAGGCATCTTTTTGGCTGCATGTTTCCTTTTGCGCGGCCAGCTTTTCTGCTTGAGGCTACATGTATGCGTGTCACGCTTTGCTTTTCAGAACTCTTTGAGATTCAGTTTTATTCCACTTTGTAAAGAACAAGTAATGGTTCGAAGGAAATCTTGTCTACCATGGCCACAGGGCCGCAACATGGTCCTTCAAGCCGGATGAGCAGTTCTAAAGAAATATACAGTCTTCAGATTACAGAAACACAGCAATGTTGCTGCGAAATCGTAGAGGTAAGGGCGAAACGGATATGGCCGATGTCGCCGAGCAGGCTGCTGAGCTGGAGTTGCCAGCATCCCCTGCCTCACTCGCCTCATCGATGAGATCGTCCTCCTCCGTTAAACGGCAAAAAGCGGAGGCCAATTTGGAGATGGCACGACGTTTGATGGCAATTGAGGAGGCGGATGCGCAAGAACGACTGGACAGGCAGAGGCGTTTGCTTGAATTGGAGTTGGAGGCGCGCCATGCCCAAATCGAAAACACCTCGTCCTCTCGTTCGCGACGATCGTCTCGTCCTGCATCCAGTGCGCCGACTCAGCATTTGAGGCCGTTGTTGGCATCGTCGACTACCCGATCAGCAGCGTCGTTGATCAGCTCTGGCCAGGAGAATAAAGTAGAAGTAAGCTCATCTCAGCCCCGATTAGAAACAGTGTGTAAACTTCCGGGAAAGTCCGCCTTGACCGCTACTAGGCATTGGGTAGAGACCCAGAAACCCGGCACTGCACACGCCACACTTGCGGCAGGGACAACAGCAACAAAGCCAGCTCAGGAGAGTCCTGAGGCTGGAGGCCTGCACCCAGCGCAAGCAGCAAACGGCATGCAGAAGTTTCTGATCCGACAGACGGTTGGTCGTGACTTGCCGGCATTCTCTGGCGACTCGGAGGAGTGGCCCATATTCGCCTCGACCTACCAGAGGACGTCAGACGAGTGTGGGTTTTCGCCATCGGAAAATGTAATTCGGCTGCAACGTTGCCTAAAAGGCCCAGCCAAGGCTGCCGTCGGAGCGATGCTCACCGTGCCGGAGAACCTGCCGACGGTACTCCAAGTCCTCGAAAGCCGGTTTGGTCGACCGGATGCTGTGATTGCTGCCATGATCGGGAAAGCCAAGGCCATTGGACAGGTCAAGCCAGGAGACTTTGATAGTCTTATCAACCTGTCCACTGCTGTGACGACGCTAGTTACTACCATGGAGCACCTTCGAAGTGAAGGTCACATGTATAACCCTCAGCTACGTCAAGAGCTTGTTGGTAGGTTGCCAACATCCCTGCGACTGCAGTGGGGAGAAGTACTTGTGCGTCAGGGTAGCCATGACATCAGCTTGCGAGTGTTTTCTTTGTGGCTGGCGGACAAGGCTGAAGCAGCTGTGCGCGTCGTGGATCTGCCGGGTACCCGAACCGACAAGACGCAGCGGGTGTACAGTCACCAGGAAGTCTCGACAGTATACAGCACAGCAGCAGCGACGGCACCAGCAAGTGCAACCAGTAAAACTCAGTCAGCCTGCCTTTGCTGCAAACAAGTGCAGCATGCCCTCAGTAAGTGTTCAACATTCACGAAGCTTGGCCAGAAAGCCCGTTTTGAGCTGGTAAAACGTCATCGTCTTTGCTTTTCTTGCCTGGCCAGTGGACACGCTACCAGGGAGTGTGGCAGCAGGAAGCAGT